ATGTGTCTGCAGTCGGAGAAGTTTGGCTGGGTCGTACTAGGCAGTCTGACGGATCGACGTGAGTCGGTTGGTACAGAAGACGGTGATGGGATCGGCGACGACGACATAGGAGCGTGATGTTGATGGTGACCGACTTCTGGGCGTGGAAACACATGGCGCAGGCCTGAAGGCTTGTGTGGCTTCAACAAGACTATGGCGCGGGGTTGATTCAAGATGATGCACATGAGAGCTTGAAGTCGACGGGGCGCAAGGGTGGACTGATCATCTACCATGGAGTCATGTTGAAGGTGGAGCTGGATTGAGGGGCTACAGCGTAAGTGCACAGAGAGTCGAAGCCTATTCAGCAGCAGGAAAAGCGAGTGACATGCAGTTTGGACTAGAGCCCAGTGGTCTGATGGAAGCATGAAACTTGTCATCGGTCGGTGATGATCGGCGGTACTCTGCAGTAGGGGTTGAGTGGTGTGGGTTCACGACCCTTGAGATTCAACCGGGACAGCAGAGGCTCGACGCGGTAATAGCGGCGAGGCGTGCGGTACGCACGGGCATGGAGACGGGTCATGGCTATGGTGGTCATACATGTGATGAGACAACTGTGAATTTGACTCGGGATGACTACAAGCAATGGTGAAATTCCTTCAAGATTCAGACAGACGGCTAAGAAAGGAGCGGTGATATTGAGTTCAGGTAACTCTTATGTGTGACACCCAATATATGAGTTGTTCATTTTCACGCACGTCAGTGATCAGTGTGTGATGCGTTGAACGAAGCTCTGGAAGTTGGGAGCATACACTAGATTATAGAGGAACTTAATTTTGCTCGAGTGTTGATGGTGGTCAAAAAAAGAAGGGACTACAAATTGCAGGTGGAGTCACATGGAGTCTTTGAAGTAGCAGTGATACTTATGGGATAAGTTCAAGTCCAATGTACATGGAAGTTTGACACATGGACAAATCCAGAGTGACGGAGTATATTCGCCAAGGTGGAGTTTGTTGGAGTTGTGTCGAATATAGTGTACAAGGTACGTTATAGTTGGACTTGTAGTAGTATTGTGTTTAAATAGGATACGGAGTTGTGTCCTAGTAGGACCTCTCATATATAGCAGGGGTACACACGATGTAACCTATGTCAACATAATAGCACAGGCGCGCAAGGGAAAGCCGGCGGCGTGTGCCGGTCCCAGGTGACCGGTGTGCAGTATTGTGACGGTGTCACAGGGAGGAGCGCCTGTAGTCAGGCCTCGGGGATGTAGCCATATCGGTGAACCTCGTTAACAAATCTCGGTGTCGTATTCGTGTGATTGCTTGGTTTTGAAATGATCGACGATATGTCTTAAATTTATTATAAAAATTTCCTCTCCGTGAAGCTGCGCTCTGCAAGCTCTCGTGCGCTCAATCAGCTAGGTAAAGATGTTTCTCACGGCTGCACGCCACTGGCCGGCCGGCAAGCCCCTCGTCTGCCGTCGCACAACCACTCCCGGAGCTGCACACGGCACCAACATCACCGAGCTGCCACGTCGTTTCATTGTGTGTGCGTGCGTCATGCAGATGCAGATTGATGGATCTGACTGTAGCTCCACCAAGTTAGTGAGAGAAGAGGATGATCCGGGTGGGGATTGCGTTTTCCTAGTGCACCAAACTAGTCTAGAATTTTGCAAGGTTAGGATTGACCGGGATTGATTAGTACGGAGTACTGATTTCAGGGATTAAAAGGTAAAGGGTCTGGTTTCGACGGGAACTACGAGTTCAAGGTTTTATTCAGACTTTCCCCTTACCTCGCTAGCTAGTTTGATCCCTGTCCTAGCCGGACACATGCATGTGTGCAGTTAGTTTGATCCAAGTCCTAGCCGGACACATAAACGTGTGCAGCTATAACTTTTACTGGCGCCACAGAAGTGCGACGCACGCCGCGCCCGTGACAGATTTAGTCTGTATTTTGTTGAAATAAGCAAGAAAAACAACATGTATTATGTGAGAAAATAAAATGAAAAGAAGAACACAAATTCTATCTTTACACCATGATCTGTGTACATGTAACAAACATTACATGAATTAATAAATTCAGTAAACTGCCTTGCCTAATAATATTTTTTTCACAAGCACATATTTTCCCCTTTCGTAAGTGCAAAAATGTAATGGGCGCCATAGCAATATGTATTTGTATTCGTTCTCATATGGCCTGTTGATCAACAGTGAGATCGAATGAGATTGTTACCAATGTATAGACCCTATAGTAGGGAAATATTTCTTGTCCAGTTTGTGCATCTTTGTCACCTATTTTTCATATCTAGTTCCTAGCTGTCACTCTTTCATTTTCTCTCAAACATGGATTTATTTAATAAAATTCATATTTAAAATTTGGTAAGTAATTTAAACCCCAAATTCGTTGCGGTGTAAAAATGGATAGTAATTAGTGGAGTTTGTCGTGGTGTAAAAGTGAATAGTAATTGGCGGAGAGCCTATTTAACACAGTATCTATGAATGGTTAATCTGATAATAGGACGTTCACCCCAATATGCTTTTCAAACTGTGATATAGGATAAGTGGTATATGCATACTTTGGGAAATTTTGGCGGCTGAGGAATAGCTGGTTCTACAATAGTTTTTTGAGCAAACACTATCCTCCACGGATGATTCAATGTCTTGTATTTTTCTCTTTCTCTTTGAATCGGTCAAAGAAATAGAATAGGGAATGGAGTGAAGATGTTGGTCGAGTGACATATTTTATTTTCATGTTCCCTGTTCTCTTTGGTTGTTCATAAACTGGTCGCGTCGTAAAGGTGGCTTGAGTGACCACATTGTGGTTGAAGCCTCTGTCTGGTTGTCCACGGGGAAGGAGAAGGCAAGGTACATGACCGCAACAACATCGGCTATTCTCCTCGCGTAGGTGAATGCACCGAGGGAGAAGGAGCCTCAGTATTTTTTAGGGATTTATTTGGGTATTTCTTTTGGATTACTGTTCACGTGAATGCATAGTGTTGATGTACTATTTTATTGTTCCGGTTCATTCAGGTGTATTATTCTGGGTTACAATTTAGGTACTGTTTTGGTTTACGGTTCGGGTGGGTTAATATTTTCAGTTTATTCAGGTATTGTTCCGTATTATTGTTCCGGGTTGCGGGGGGAAGAGATGCCTTTTTCTTCCCCTTTTTTGTATTTCTTCTGGTTTACTGTTCACATAGATGCATAGTGCTGATTTACCCTTTTTGTTGTTCTAGTTTATTCGAGTGTATGGTTCCGGGTTACAATTCAGGTACTGTTTCGGTTTTATGATACGGGTAAGTTAATGTTTTTGATTTTATTCAGGTGTTCTTTCATTTCATTGGTTTTTACCGTTCCAGGTTATTCGAGTTTTTTGTTTTGGTTTATTTGGTTATTGTTTTGGCTAGCAGTTCTGGGTTTATTCAAATACTGTTCCAGTTTTTGTTCCGGTGATTGTTGATGCACTGTTCACTGACATCGTAGTGTAAAAATGGACAATAATCGACCAAGAACTTATTTTTCACACGGATTACTATTCATGCAAATATATTGTTCCGGTTTATTGTTTTGTGCCTCAGCAACACCATCATCGGAAAGGATCGGGAGACCATCAAGGCGGCTCTGCAGCGGTACGCCAGTGGACAAAAACGATGTGTAGAAAATCCTAAATCTTAACCCTTTATATAAGGATGTGAGGGTCGAGGATGGGGAGAGAAATAATGTTTAAAAAAATCTCATTTTTTTTCTGAACAACGTGTGTATTTTTCTCCGGGGGACACTGTTCACTACCAGTACTGTTCGTGCTTACTATTTAGGTGACCCCGTAAATGAACAGTAGAAGTGAGAAAAAAGTCAAAAAAAAGAGAGAAGAAAACGGGAAAGCTTCCCGACCGCTTTAGTATTATTACTTATACTTATATTTCTGAATCATGTGTAACTATGTGTACGCCTCCAAGTTTCTTCCCTAGCCGGACAGAAGAACATGTGCATCCACGATTTGTTTGAGCGGTCAAAATCATGTGTAGCTCGTGCACAGCTTCAAATTCTTTTCCAAGTAGGTGAAATTTAATGCACTTTATGGGATGAGGTGATTTGACGCCCAGGCTCAGTTGCACCCATGATGAACAGAAAATTCAAAAACAATATTAGAAAAATTCAAAAAATACCAATTGTTTTTTGCATGGAAGATAATTTGGTGTGTGAGGTGCGTTCCAAATTTCAGATCATTTGGACATCTGAGTAGTTCTCGGCAAAAATAGACAAATTTGGGGTTTGTAAAAAAGTTTACTGTTCATGTATTGTTCCGACCAAATTTGTTTTTTTTAGAGCTACTCGGCCGCGAGATGTTATGAGTTTCACCTCTACTCTACGCCAACTTATTTGGGACTAAAGGCTTTGCGAGCTACTCATACATCCAAAGGATCTGAAATTTGGAGCGCTCCTCACGCACCAAATTATCTTCCATGCTTAAAAAAATCGATTTTTTTTGAATTTATTTAGTATTTGCTGTGAATTTTCTCTTCACCGGGGGTAGATGAGTCTGGGCTCAGAAATGAATATTCACACTTTATGTACATAATTTGGGCTGTGGGTATCCCTTTATATTCTATCTCAATTATTGTATTTAAAATCTACGGAGTATATATTTTTCTTTGAATGAAATGGAGTATATATTTTAAGCATATGTGAACGAACTTGGCGGCTTGTTTGCCTTATGTTTTAGTATATATAGTAGATAACTTTATTATTAAGAACTTGCACTTCCATTTCAAACATATACACCTGTCAAAGCATACACATCATGGCACACGTAGAACCACACACACACACACATATAGAACTATATCGTATCATCTAGAGATATGGTGCCAACGTAATTTAGTGTAGATCCAGCCATCCAGGTATCCGTGGCATCGTTGTTCGCATAGCCAGCATGTGCGTGCACATGCATGGATGCAGTTTATTTAGTTTGCACATTATCATATGTATACCCAGCGCGCAGACTATATGCCGATATACTAACTACATGACGGGGTAGGCACCGTACATGGCGATGCCACACAGCCCGCGGGGCCCGTCGGCTCCCCTGCGCACGAAGAAGAAGCCCTTCTGACCCCAGGTCTGTCCCCACGAGTTCTTGGCGATCCAGTACTCTTCTCCGGCACCGGTGACTCCGTAGCCGACCACCGTCACCACGTGGTTCTGGCTGGTGGTGCACGGCCCCCTGTACACGCCGGACTTGTAGTTCTGCAGGACGGGGCCGCTCCCGTCGATCTGGACGGTCACCGGCCTCCCGAGCACGGCCAGCGCCAGCGCGCTCTCACTGCTCCCCGGCTGCACCTCCTGGACGCCGGTGATCTTGCCGATGCGTCGGGCGGCGTCGTGCACCGCACATCTGCCTCGCTTGGCCATGTAGGGGTACTCGGCCTCCGTGAGGAGGCCCCCTTTTGATTTGATCCATGCGAGTGCGCTCTTGGGCCACCCGTAGCCGCATGGCGAGCTGAACACGCCCGTGCTGCAGTCCACCAGCTCCTGCACGGACAGGTCAACCAGCTCCCCGCCATTTATCTTGTTCAAGCTCTCCACCGTCGCCGCTGCAGCAAATGCCCAGCAGCATCCTACAGCAATGTTGTGTAACAAGGTGGTTTCAGTTGTGTAACCACACGTATGCATGCCATATAAACTGCTTACCACATGCTCCTTGTTGCTTAGCAGGCGTGACGACACCATGTTCCCTCCAGTCGAACTGCCGGGGAGGGTCAGAGGCAGTCATCGTCAAATTACGATCCTCCTCGATGGCGTTCTTGGATGATGCCGCCCCCTCGGCAACATCTCCAGCTAAAGTAGTGATGAGACCACCACCATCACCGGCTCCACCATAAGCGCCACCGACATACCGCGCCATGAACTCCTCGTTAGTGAGGTCGGTGAACTCGTTCTCGCCGAGCTCATAGCCGAGCCTCTCGGCGTCCCTGTTGGAGGCGTCGATGAGGTCCACGTTGCGACGGTACACCTCAAACCGCCGCAGCTTCTCAGCGGCACTATGGTACGTCCGGCCATGCGCTGACATCCACCGGTGGAACCTACCCAGCATCAGCAGGTCATGGTCGTCTCCATCGCCGGACGTAGCACGGGAGGAGGGCAATGTGGTGCTGGACAGGGTGACTAGGAGGACGAGGAGAGCCAACGAGCGGAAGAGGGGAGCCATGCCCATGTGTTGATGCAAGAACACTTGATTTTAGGGATGGTGGCGAGGATTCTCAGTTCCGTGGGTCGTTTATATAATGGGGGATATTAAGCTGAGGAGGCTGTGGCCGCCGAGATGCGAATTATTTGCTCGGCATGCATGATGTGGACTGGGGAGCTACACCTCACATCATGCTACTATTAGGCATTGGTGTCATTAATTATGTGATGTTTGCTCACATGCTATGCTCGTACGTGGCATGACTATAAAATTTTTATCCGGGTATATCTACGGCTACCGAAAACATTATTAATTTGTTTACACATATACACATTGAGGAAAATCAGGAGGCAATGGTGTTAGTATGTGATGATTGCTCTCCATGGCATGGCTATGTGATTTTTATTCGTGTCTATCTACGGCCACCCATAACTTTATAAGTTTGTTCACACATATACAAATCTCAAAAATCTTTAGCAGATCGTAGCAATTTTGACTTCTTTCTTCTTCTCAAAGTTAGAAAACTGATGAATTCTTGCACAGAAATCTAACACCAGATTGACGATTCTCTCCCTCGCAAAAAAGAAGACGAAAAGATTGACGATTCTCTGTATGGTTTTCACCCTAAAGAATTCTAAATTGTATGAGAATTAGCAAACATGGCACAGCTGTATAATTTCTATTTGGGTCTATCTGCGGCTGCCGATAACATTATTAATTTGTTTACACATATACAAATCAAGAAAAATTAGGAGGCAATGGTGTTAGTATATGATGATTGCTCTCCATTGCCCATGGCATGGCTATGTGATTTTATATGTGTCTATCTACGGCCACCCATAGCTTTATAAAATTGTCTATATATGTACAAATTTAGAAAATGTCCATGGGTTGTAACAATTTGATTTTTTAAAAGTTAAAAAACTGATGAAATATTGCACAAAACTCAACACCAGATTGACGATTCTCTGAATGGCTTGCACTCCAAAGAATTCTCAATTGTACTACCTCCGTCTGGTTTTATTAGTCCTCATTGTATTTTGGGCCAAACTTTAAGCACATATTAGGCTAGCAAAATGTTAATGCATGTCACTAAAAATTATACTGTTGAATTCATATTTTAATATGGTTTTTATTGATGTTATATTTAGTACACACAACTTATATGTTATTACTTAAATTTATGGTTAAAATATGATCATAAATACGAAGAGACTAGTAAACCCGGATGGAGTGAGAATTACTAGTAGCAAACATGGTTTTCTTTTTATTTTATTCCCTCATGGAACATGCCCATGAACAAGCGGACCCATGCATTTGAAAGAAACTGTATCACACTGATTAAGCTAAGATATACTGGATTTTTCATTTGACGTGTGTCCATCATTGGTGCCCCTTCGAGGTTCCAAGCGGTGCCATATATATAATCGTGTGACCAGCTAAATTACAGGCATGGACCTAGAGCTTTTTTTGATAGCTTATTTATTGAGTTTTTAGCTAGCTAGCAGTAGATTTTATGAGGAAATTTCCTATATATAATATAAGATTGTCAAAATATGCATATATTACCATTCATGCCGCCTTTGGGTGACTATTGTTGTTGTTGTCTTTCTTGTGTTGTGTGCGTCTTTTATTCACACTTCACCTTGGGCTATATCAATTACTAGCAGAATACCCGTGCATTATCACGGGCTTTTAAATTTTACAATTAGTCTCTTTCATTTATCATCCCCTCATCTTTGGCGAATCTGCGGTCCTTGGATTAGAAACACAACATTAGAAAGTTTTATTGAAGATGATCATCAACATAAACCAACAATAATGAAGAACATGATTACCTACTTGGTCCGTCATGCACTTCTGCAGACAAGCCCCTCAACTTTTTAGAATCAACCCACGGTCCACTCAAATTCCATACATCCCCAAAAAAATTGTAACTCAAACTGCTCCGCTCGCACACGAAAAAATACATGGCTGAAGTGGAGGCCAGCCGTGGCCAACAAGAACTCAAACTCCTATCCGATCTCAACTTCATGCTCTTGACTTTCCTCACCGTAACCTCGAGAAACGGTCAACATCCATCCACGCATCCATCCCTACCTCCTGTTGCCGCCTGCATTGTTCTTGCTCGTCGAGGGAGGGCCACAAACTCCTCTACGACGGCCACAGACAGATCCCCGGGGAGGTCACAATCTTTCACGGGCACCAAACCAAGCATGACACCCTCCACATCCATCCAATCCCAGCCCAAACAGCGTCAAGACCCTCCATCGGTCCACGAATCAGGCTTGTTGCATCAAGGTCCATTGCAACGAGTCTGTAGTCGACATCTTTACTTTGGCTATCCCTGCGGCAGCACCATCGGATCTTGCTTGCTTTTACATCAGCATGTGTGGGCGAGCAATGGCCTTCGGTGTCCGAGCGACCGAAATATAATGCCTGGACAATTAAATAATCCAGTGGAAGAGCTTTGTAGGGGAGACGAGATGAAGTGGACTAGGATTACATCAGCATGATAATGAACTCTGATTTGATGGTCTACAGAATTGATTGGCTGAAGAAGGTAAAGGTGTTGGGTGTGGTAATTAAAGACATACTGAATGGTATGCTTCATTGTGATAGATTTGTATCTGTTTTTTTGTTGAATTCAATTTCAGTTCATGTTCCCAGTGCTCTTTATGGACCGTTGGTCCTTATACATTCTTGATACTGAGAAGAATATTGTGATGGTACTTGATCCAATAGAGACAGACCGACATATGAGATAAAGAGGAACCACAGAGACATTGGCTAGGAAATTCCAGCTTAGACTTTGCCGGCTTTTCAATGACATGTTTGGTGCAGGGTTGGTCGAGACTATCGGGTGGAAATTTCTGTACCACTTGGTGGCGCAGCACCAACCATGCAGGAGGTGAGTTTATTTGTATGAAGCATAGAAACAGAAAAGTTCTTTTGCCTGCACTGACAGTAATAACCATGTGCCATGCTCGTAGGGAGGATAGCGTCGTGTATGTCATGCACTATATCCTGTAGTTCACCGGTCTGTACCTTCGATTGACTCTTACCCCATTATGAAATGGCACTTATATTTGTCTGGAAAAGTTTGAATGCACAAGACGATTGGTGCACTTGTATTTCTCTCATGTTTTTTCAACAGGCACAACTTGAGCACCTAGGGATGAAAATTGCATAAGAGATTGTGACCATGAAGGGGAACAAGGGAGATATCCCAGATTTTCTGTACAAGGAGATCCTTGACTGATGCGAAGGAGTAGTGGTTCAGACTTCGTGCGGCCCATGAAGATCTTTTGGTTGCGTGTGTGCTTGTCCGTGGAATTGCCCCGGTTACATTGATGGGGCTTTTTGCAGCACATCCACCACCGCCCCTCCCCCAGCTTGTGGGTGAAAAACTATGGACCTGTATTGAATTTGTTATTCGAGGCCTAAATAGACTAAGTGAAAGTATGTATGTGTGGTTGTATGGACAGATTACCGTCTATCTGAGTTCGCAATGTTATATTTAGTCTTCATACCCGTGTTTAAGGGGCAAAAATCCCTGACTGAATTTGTAAGTGCCATCGCTATGGGTGACAGAAATTGGACTATTTCTTTGCAGCAATTGCCGCGCATGTTTGGCGCAAACTTTGATGAGTTGTCTGAATCCCTAGTGGTGTTGATTTGTGTCTTGATTTAGATATGCCATCTGAATTCCCAATGTTATACTACCTCCATTTTTATATACAAGGCCACTATCAAAATTACAATTTGCAGCTATACAAGGCCACTAACACCAACTAGTAGAACGCCCGTGCGTTGCCACGGGCCAATAAATGAATCTACCACAGGCCCCTCAACTTCAGCTCTTTGATCACTTGTGTAATAATTCGCTATGTTGTCAGCCCACTTCATATCTAACAGATGAATACCAGACACTTGGCTTTGGCTCTACATTGCCACCCAGCTCAAATTCGCATATGTTTTCTTTAAGTTCGCCATATTGCCATAAGCATTCCCTCATCTCTAACTTTGAATGTCTTCCAACATTCGTCATCATGCACTCCCTATACAAAGTTCTGACAAATTAAATAAGGTCCCTGTACAATTTTGCAATGTTATACATCAAAAAACCTAAATTGCTTTCATTATTTTCCTGTTTAAGCATTGCATGAGATACGATAGCTCCACTCATATGAACCCTCCTACCTCAGTATTAGAATCACCCCATACAAAGAAAAATATCTAGAATTATATCACATGCACATAATGATCAAGGCGTATCACTTTTGTTGTTGAATTAGGTGTTGTGCAAACAATTTGTTTCCGCTTTTGGCCACTACAAATCACATGAAACAAGTTCTTCTCACTTGAATTGATGACTCATCCATCATATTTGTATTTTGTTATGTAACTGATTTCATCCATCATCGTCCCTCTAGCTGGTTACTATGACACAACTTCATAACGGGCATCTAGTCCCTGCTCTCTACACTACACTGTTTCTCTCACATGCTCATGCTCCTTGCCTCTCCCATGGACACCACAACTTTCACCAAGTAGGGGATCCCTATGATGTAAAAATCCTTCATAGAAAACAAAATAAATATCAGATGTGTATATTTTGCTATCTCAACCGTTTACAATCCCTGGAATGATTCTCCCCATTTCTCCTACAGCCTACATTACCAAACTTTGTCGTCGTTCAGCAACAATACATGACCTTGTTTCTTTGATACGCACCCAAAACAATTAAAAACTCTGCTAATGAGATTCTTCGTATTTATCATAACACGGTTAATCAAAATAGAAGAACTAATAACCCTCACTAAAATAAGGAACAAAATATAGTGCCCTACTGTCAGTGGCAACGTAGGCAGCCTCGACTTGCAGCCACTGATGCAAACCCACAATCCAAGGAAAAAACCATGACTTCATGCAAAAATCGTAATAAGTATTGTCTTGTTGTATAAAGAATATTTTCTTTCGAGAGAGACTTATAGTACTTGACAGGAAGAACATGGACTTGTCCT